TTTGGCTTTCTACTACTCCATCTTGATACAAAAAAAAGGATGAGGGAATCTTCCAAAGAAGGGAAGGAAGTAATGAAAAACTTTCTTTCCCAAAAATTAATCACTCCAAAAAATGGAAACTCTTCAATTCATTATAACGTTATTAACTAGAGTAATAGGTATTTTGTTATTAACTGCTATTTGTTTGATGATTGCCATTTAACTTCGGAGGTTTTGATATTTTGGTTTGAGCAGTTCAAGATATGCCTAAGAAAGCGTTTCTATAGTGAAATACTGCGGTTTCAAAAACATTCATGTCAAAATCCCACCATAAAATGTTCAAATAGGTAATGAGGTTTTTGCCAAAAATTCTGCACCATTCCATATTTCAGAAAGTTGCAAAATAATAAGCATTTGATAATATATTTCTTCCTTGTGTTTATCGGATTGTAAAATGAATATTTAAATTAGTTTCATATCTAATTGTATAATCGTTCTCTCGAACCATCTGATTAAGTTGATAATTATTACATAGAGGTTTTCAATATACTTTCCAATAAATATTCAAGTGGATGAATAGATTGAAACCTCCAAAACTCTGGATAGTAAAACGAAACAATTACTCTTCCTACTGTTGCGATCTTCCTAAAAGATAATATTACAGTGAGAAAAATGTAGAGTCAAAGGCAAAAAAATTAAAAATGGAAAATTTTGAGACTCAGGAAGTTATGAGAACTGTGTCAAAACGTATGCGGGCTAGACTAAATGCACAAGTATAAGACGTTTTTGAGAACACATAAACGTATATCTGATTTCATATATGAGAACAGACTAGTGTCGCTAATATGCTTGTTCTGACGTAGTTCTGACATAGTGGTGGTAATAGTGTTTGTATTGAATTTATTCTGTGCCAGGAGTTGAGCATAAACTATTCACTTCTAGGATTCTTAGAACCAAAAACATCAACTAATTTATTGGTTTCTGATAAAAGTTGAAACAGGTGTGTATTGAACAATATCAATTCAATCAAAAACTAAATGCGATTATTGTTAGGTCTTCAAACTACTTTTCATGAAGACGCTTGGGTTGTATAAATATTTTGAATAGAATTTCAAAGCCAATTTTCTAACAGTTCATTTTAGTAATGACGCCGCATCCAATGAAATTTTCATTAGAAAAATGTTGAACTTTCAACGGTGAGTTCTATATTCAGTGGGCTAACTAGATTCAAATTGTATGTAAATTTTCAATGTTCTGAACAAATAATGGCCGTAATTGAGAGTCGCGACAAACCAGCTCGCATGTAAGCTATAATTTAAAGTTAAGAAAATTTGACCGAGCTTAATAACCAGTTTCAGGTTCTTGTAATAAATTTCATCAGATTATTAAATATGTCGGTCCATTTGGCTTTGTTTAAGTGTTGCATGTCTCAAGTACGTTTGCCAAAAAAATACAGTGGGTGGATAAGAGATTGTGATACATTATTGTGCCCGTCACATTCATCAACTTCTTTATATCTCCAATCGATCATTGATATGTCGATCTACATAGGACATAACAATCTCGGGAGAGGCGAGTTTTCAATATACAGTGCATTCCATTAAGAATGAGCCACCCTGAATAGCTTTTGGTACAATGATTTGCAGGAAAAATAAAAAAAAACAAGTTAACAATAGTATACAGGAAGACACATTTGGACATATTCACATTTGATGTTACTTCCCCTATCGCACCCCCAGAACATGTCACCAATGTTTTAATGGATCACCCTATATTGTTTTACCATTATCAGATGTTCCATGATGACCAGATTTCAACAAAGTATAAAACATATGGTCTAAAGATTATGGTTCGGGAGCTACAAATTATTTGAGTTGAAAACGAGTCACCGTGAATAACTTTTGGTACCATGATTTGCAGGAAAAATTAGGAAACATTTCAACCATAGTATACAGGGGGACACATTTTGACATATTCACATTTGATGTGACTTCCCCTATAGCAGCCCCAGAGCATGTCACCAATTTTTTTAAATGGATCACCCTATATTGTTTTACCATTATCAGATGCTCCATGATGATCAGATTTCAACAAAGTATAAAACATATGGTCTGAAGCTTTTGGTTCTGGAGCTACACATTATTTGAGTTGAATAACTTTTTTAATAGAACTTATTTTTTCTTTAACACCAATGAAATCCATTAACATCCATATAAGATTAGACTAGTTCATGAATTGAACGACGTTGATTTCGATAGACGTATTGAGTTTTGTGAAAGTCCCACTGAACGGATCAATTTGCATCAGAATTTCTTGTATAAAATTTGTTTTTCGTATGAATGTACGTTTAGTTTGAATAGAGAGGTGAGTCGGCAAAATTGTCGATATTGGAGTGATACGAATCCCCATTTATACCGTTAAGTTCACACCCAACGACCTCAAAAACTGAATATTTGAACGGGAATTTTAGGTAACCACATCATAGGACCTTTTTATCGAAAATAATTTGACTAGTGATAAATATTTGGATATGTTGGAAAATCGAATGATTCCGTCCTTCAATAGGGCAACTGAGGAGGATATAAATTTATTCAAAAACCAAATAGTTTTTCAACAGTACGGTACACCTCCTCATTATGCAGCTCCACTGCAACAATTTTTGGATGAGCATTTTCCTGGTCGCTGGATTGGCAGAAGAGGTCCTACAGACTGGCCTCCAAGGTCTCCGGATTTCATTTCTGTAGATTTCTACAGAAGTCTAAAGTGTATGAGATAGAATCAACAACATTAGAAGATTTAAGAGGGAATATCATGAGGCACTGCAGCGAAATAACTCCCGAGATTCTCAACCATGTGAGGCGGCAATGGAAGCTCGTTTGTACCATTATATGGAAGTTAGTGGAAACGTTTTTGAACATTTACTATAGATAATTTTCTTCTTCTCATTGTCCAGTCATCAGATGTTGATTCAAGAATTAATAAAAAATTTCTTTTTCTGATTTATTGCTTCCATATTTGTCTCTAGAACGAGTATTTCAAAATGTGGCCTCCTGTATAATTGTCGACCTGTTTTTTTATTTTCCCTACAAATCATTGTTTTAAAAGTTATTCAGAGTGGCTCATTTTCAACTAAAATAATTTGTAGCTCCCGAACCATAAACTTCAGACCATATGTTTCATACTTTGTTGAAATCTGCTCAACATGGAGCATCTCATAATGTGAAACAATATAGGTTGATCCATTAAAAAATCGGAGCCAAGCTCTGGTGGTGCGATAGGGGGATTAATATCAAATGTGAATAGGTAGAAATGGGTTTCCCTGTATACTATTGTTGACGTGTTTTTTATTTCTCCTGAAAATCGTTGTATCAAGAGTTATTCAGGGTGGCTCGTTTCAAATGGAATACAATGTATACTCACTAAAATGAATATGGAGAGTAGAATTAAAAATTGCCTTCAGCAAAATATTTATCACTTTTGTGGTGAAATAAAAAATATAAATAGTGATTATCATATGATCCGATGGTAGACGGTTGGAATCAACTAATATAGATACATTCCTACAGATGATTGTGCTACTCAAACGATAAACAGTTGAAAGGAATTCTGAATGTGAAATTTATGTTACTAGCGACCCGCCCCAGCTCTGCATGGGTGCAATGCTGATATTAAATATAAATTCACTCACCGGAAATTTAAGGGCATGGAGAAAGAGTGAAGAATAGATTATTTTGTTTCATGGACGCCCCTTTTTCCGCTGGCGTTGCCCCAGTTGAAATATTTCAAAATCCTTTATTATTGCTCATCGACAACATGAAACGAACCTACATACGGTACGAAGAAACAGTGATGAAAAGGTAATTTTCATATACAAACGCCTCAGTTGAAATATTTGAAAATCCTTCCTTAATGCGCATCCAAGAATAAGAAGCATATATATACCAAATTTCAGCTTTCTAGGACTCACCAGTATGAAGAAACAGAGATGAATGAGTGATAAATGAGTGACTTTCGCATTTATAAGTATAAATGCTTATTGTTGTGGGAACAGCTGTGTCTTGATGTTTGATTGTGAATTTGTGAGATGGATGTTTTTTTACTGCGATTATTATAGATATGAGGAGCTAATGAATAGGTCAAAATTACTTTCTCTAACGGGAAGCACAAGAAATCACAATGATTTGTGTCAAAAATTAATCGGTGAAAAAATATTCAACAACAAATTACACCTCAAATGAATATGCTACATATGTTTTTGGTAAGACTCATCCAAATAGACCGATCAGGTTTGTTTGAAGGTGATTGACAATGTTTCATGATGAATTTCATTTGTTCGGACTCCCATTGTCTGATATTATATAAAATGATTTGAAATCCCTGAAAGAACTAAAAAAGAAGAATTAAAAATTAAAGGAGAATAAAAATTAATAGCTGAAAAAACAATTATATTAAGCAAAAAATCCTGAATTGAAATGAATTGTAAAGGTGGAAGGTTGTTGTGACTCAGATTAATTTGTTCTTCACATCATAGTCACATGACAGTATCACGTTGTTATCATTAGAAATAAGTTCAATTGTTCATTGTGAATGAACTGTCATGGGTGAAACTTTTGAAGTTATAATTTTTCTTGAGTTTTCTCCTATAATCAACATTATTACTCAATTATGTTTCATATTTACCCCACAAGAAATGAGAAAAATTTACAGATAGTTCAATGAAAACATTATTTTTCTCGGGATTGAATGATTTCAATTATTTCTTTTTTATAAAAAAAATTCTTGANCCGTTAACCAGCTGTCGCACCCCTACGAACGACAACCCTCAGAAGTCGAAACTTGTGCGAGCTAAGGATTAACGAGGTCTTACCTTTTAACGTGTGATTCCTAACACGGGTTGGACGGTAGCAAGTGAAGATCGATCGTTCAGACTAGGGCTTGAACCACCGACCAACACGGCAGTCAATTCGAGTGAGTGAACAAAGCACCCACGCCGAACCGCTTGGCTACCGACTGACCTACAAAATATCTTAGCAACTGTACATTAATTTCTGCAAGACCCAGCATTGAAAAATTTTGTTAAAATGTCCTTACCATACTTTTCCTGATTTCTTTTTACGAAAACAATCAGAAAACGAACGGTAAAGAGAAATAATTCACATCTATCAGAAATCCGGTCTCGTTCAAATCATTTTATTATCAATTGGATCCTCATGAATGTATATGAAGGAAAAATACATCCTCTAGCGTGCAAGTCACCTCTCAATATCATGAGTGCATCATAATCACAAATTAATTCGAAAGTGAAGATTACAGATAATTCATACCATTCTAAAATCGTTATATAGGGCAAATAAAAAGAGTTTTCGTTGTTATTTTGTACATAATTATCTAAAATTAAGAAAATTTATATTCATGCTTCATTAGCTTATAGTTGCAGATAATGGTTTTCCTTTTCTTTGTGTTATATATTCGAAAAGTGGAACACATCATCCAAAGAGGTTCTGGAACTAACTATTAATGAATTACAAGTCTGGAACTGTTGTTCACAATAATTTGTTGAGAAATTCAAGTTCCTTTCCTCTAATACATGTCCTTCTATAAAAGTACATATAATTTACTGGATTGATTTTGAACAAGTTGAATCAACTTATGACTGATTTTGTACACTATAATGTTACATGATCTGAAAGTGAATTACATTAATATAGAAAAGGTAAACTACTGATTGCGCTCACAAAAACTGCTTGCTCTAATAACAAAAACAATACAAAAATATTTTGGTTATTTTGCAAGTTTTTCCCTGGTCTTCTTTGGTTATAATCTTCAACTTGACATTTCAACTGAAAGAATTACAATAACATAGAAATGGTAAACTACTGATTGCGCTTACAAAAACTGTATGCTCTAATAAGAAAGACAACACAAAAATATTTTGGTTGTTTTCTGAGTTTTGCTGTGGTCTGATTCAGTTACAATCTTCAACTTGACGTTTCAACTAAAGCTTAGTTATCTGAAAAAAATTACAATAACATAGAAATGGTAAACTACTGATTGCGCTTACAAAAACTGTAGGCTCTAATAAGAAAGACAACACAAAAATATTTTGATTGTTTTCCGAGTTTTGCCGTGGTCTTCTTCAGTTACAATCTTCAACTTGATGTTTCAACTGAAACTCAGTTATCTGAAAAATAATTACAATAACATAGAAATGGTAAACTACTGATTGAGCTTACAAAAACTGTATGCTCTAATAAGAAAGACAACACAAAAATATTTTGGTTGTCTTCCGATTTTTGCTGTGGTCTTCTTCAGTTATAATCTTCAACTTGACGTTTCGACCGAAACTTAGTTATCTGAAAAAGAATTACAATAACATAGAAATGGTAAACTACTGATTGCGCTTACAAAAACTGTATGCTCTAATAAAAAAAACAACACAAAATTTTTTTGGTTGTTTTCCAAGGTTTGCCGTTGACGTATCAACTGAAACTCAGTTGATATGTTAAAAAGACTACTTCGACCACGCCTCTGAAGATGACTGCCGCAGTTGCAGTTGAAACGTTTGGAGATTATAACCAAAGAATANACATTGACGCCAGCTGTGAAAGCCTACATTCCTATATTAACACAAAAATAGTCCAACAAAAATATATTTTTCAACCTCCAGCACTCAGACAAACCTGTTTTACCAACAATTCAGTTGGTGTCATAATTCTGGAACCACTGAGAAGCATTTGTACTGAATACCTTTACATGCTTTCGATTTCAGCTATCAATCAAAATCATTCCATTCAACTGCACGATAGTGTAATCAAATTTCACTTTACAATTCCAGCAACATGATTGTGCCAAGACATATTGGTGTCCATTTTAACATCCAACAAACTTATTGAAGCAGAAAGTGGAATTGTCTGACCTGACATTATTATATCCGGTTCGGAAACATTTATCTTCTTGGAGAAAAGCGATGTTTGGGTTTTTGTGGCATTGAATTGAACCTGGTTACTTTAACTCCAATTCGAAATCACTTCTAGATCCTCATTAAGATATGCAATCTCCTGCTGGCGGTGTCCTGGGATCCAAATATGATGACGAGACAAGTGTGCTGTCGTCAGCAAATCAATATATTGGATTCTTGGTTATTCCCAATAAGTCGTTGATATACAATGAAAAGAGGGTCGGAGATAATATGAATCTCTAGGAAACACCAGCGTTGATGATGAAAGTATTTAAGAGATATCTATCGACGGCCACTTGCAGGGAACGTTCTTTCAGGAAGCTGGAGAGCCATACACACAAATGATCCGACAAGCCATAGCATCGAAGTTTGGTCAGCAAATCTTCATGCCACACACGGTCAAAGGCCTTAGAAATATCAAGCGTAACAGCTCTTGATTCTTTATGTTTCTCGATTGCCTCATTCCATATATTGTTTGGTTGGTCCAATATCTACTATAAAAAATACATCGTAAACACAAAGGAAACGTAGAACATACCTAAGCAATGAATGCTTGTATCGTAATGTTCCATTCTTCCATTTGGGTATCTTAATTTACTTTTTTATAGAGTGAGAGTTTCGAAAAATAATAATGATAATATTGAGTAGATGAATTTGAAATTTATCATAAGAATTATTTTATATTAGTTAGATTGGTTAGGATAATGGGAAAGAGAAAATAAGAAAGTATTAGCATTCTGATTCTTTTCTCTACGTAATCAGAGTGGCGTTCCATCTCAGATGCTGATTTATCTTAATACTTAGATATTTTATATTCATCAACCTTTCTATCAATGGACAAGATCAATTTTGTGTTTCACACCCTGTTTGATATATACTCAAAGTATTTTTTCCGGCTGATCATTTTGTAGTAAAGAGAAAGTTAGACATTTTGTTTTACTAACATTCAGACTAAGAAGGTTATAATTTAACCATAGCCTTACATCGCTTAATACCTTCTGTGAATCCTTGTATACATTTTCCTATGAGTCCCCTGTAATAACAATAGTCGTGTCATCTGCATATGATATGAGATGTCCTTTGAAGTTTTGTATCGTACTTAAACTGTTTATATAAATAAGAAACAGAATTGGTCCTAGTACTGTTCCTTTGGGGAACTCCTATTTTGACTTCCGTAGAACTACTGAATTGGTGATATACAATAGAAGATCGCCTGTTGATCATTTTTTCCGAAAGCCATATTGATGATCGCTCAAGATGTTGAAGCCTTCCAAATATTTGAGGATATGTTGGTTTACAACTTTCTCCACGATTTTTGATATCACTGATAGCAAAGCGACTGGTCTATAGTTATATAGTCTATAGTTTTCCTAGTGAAAATTTTAAAAATTATTGAATATATTGTCATAAATTAAAAAATCCTTAATTGTTCTCGTATTCATTTCGTACCATTTATCTATCATTCCACATTCATCTAGGTGCTTGAAATACTTTAGGAAGGATACCTATGTCAAAGTTGATATGAAATAATTGGGAATAGTTATTGTATGAATTATTGAGTTGTTTCTGAAGTTTCGTCAGTTTTTATGAATCTACTGTAAATTGTAATATCTTGGTGAATACTTATTCAATTTAATCTAAAAAAACGCTTTTTAAATCAGTTTACTTTTGCCAACGTACTACAAGTCGATTTATTTCGTCAGCATAAAAATTGGGTGCTCGGAATTCGATACAGTAGACGGAGGCCGTTTTTGGCTGATCCTGATTGGCGAAGGTTCCACCGATGAGGAAGTTATCGAAGTGCTTGAGAGAGATTGGCGAGAGGTATGGGGCGACGGTCAGCAACAGGCGGACCCCGAAAGGTTGAACCTCGGACCTCGTATCCGTGTTTACTCAGAAGAAGATAGTAGTGACAAACGTAGTTGCAACAATAAATCGATGATACATTCTTCAGTAAAAACTCTTGGGTTCAATGGGTTAAAAAATCTTGGAAACACCTGTTTCATGAACAGTATAATCCAATGTTTATCAAACACGGGATGGTTGCTGGAATACCTAAAAAAGGATACATACATGGAAGATATCAATACTAGTATTTCTAGTATGAAAGGTGTTTTAATCAAAGCGTTCGCAGAAGTTATCAAGGAATTGTGGTCAGAAGATTCATCTGATAGAGTAATTAACACAGTCTACTTAAAAAGTCAGATTCAAAGATTTGCCCCTCGATTCATGGGTTCTGTCCATTAAGACGCCCACGATTTCCTTCGATATCTTTTAGAAGGTTTACATGAGGACCTCAACACTGAGAAACCTGAACCAATCTTAACTGAGATTGACGAAAAATTGACCGATAACGGAAAAGCACAAGAGTCCTGGCGGAGATATTTGAATATGAACAATTCCAAGATTGTAGACTATTTCGTTGGTCAATTAAAATCCACTAAGAAGCACACTGTGGACACTAATCAGTAAACCTTTGATTCTTTCTGGGATTTGTCTTTTCCCATACCACAAAGAACTGGCCAATTTAGTTTGTCACATTGCTTGGATTCTTTCACAAGGGAGGCAACTCTGGATGGAGATGAAAAACCAATGTGTTCGAGGTGCAAGCAAAAGAGAAAATATACAAAGTCATTATCAATATATAAGTTTCCCCGTATTTTAGTAATTCATTTGAAAATATTCTCCCCAACGGAAAGATTCAGTTGCAAATTGAATGTTTCCATTGACTTTTCTTCAGATGGATTAGATATGAGCAGTCATGCAGCAGACAATGTGGCTCCTTGTCGTTATAATCTATATGCACTTTCAAATCACAGTGGGACTACTCACAACGGACATTACACAGCATATTGCAGACACCCATATAGTGGCACGTGGCATGAATACAACGATTCACACGTATTGCCAATTTCGCCAAAATCACTTGTGAGCGATGAGGCATATGTCCTCTTTTATTAACAGGAGGGAACGAAGCAGCACCTTTGATGTGATTTTTTTTTATAATCCTGGTTCTTTGAATTGATTTGTATTTCATGATTGTTCCAAATTTCATTATTTATTGTAATATTGATTTGTAAAAATTCAATAATTTTCCGACAATTCTTGAATATAAAATGAACTCTTGAGAAAACGTTGTTCAGTTATTGAGAATCTGGCCGATCTTAGAAACGATGTAGTGGCAGAATAGACAGATGTGGCTGCCAAGTTGTTTAATCTGTCAAAGTTATCACTTTAAGTAGAGAAAATCGATTTGCAAGTATCCACCACTCTCCTGAACGTCCGCTGTTGTCGTAGAGGATCCACTTTTCATCACACGTGACGATCCCACCCAAAAAAATATTGTTTTGGTTCGAAACGGGGCAACTTCTGTCGATCGTTCTAGTCGTGGGGTATCCACTTTTGGAGCTGTTTGACCTTTCTAATACATTTCAAACCGTCAAAAACGAAATTTCGCAAACCATCATCGAATTGTGCGTTCTTTTTTCGAGCTTTTTCGGCAGCGCTTTGGTTCATTTTAAATTTGTATAGAAAAATTGTCCGAAAATCGCCTACCGATATAATATAGTAATAATCTGAAAAAAGGCAAATAAGTCAAATTGGGAATGAAATGAACAGCATAAATGTAAAGAGTACAAAATTCTGCATCGATCAATATACACCACGACATAGTAGAACAGATATTTATTGAGATATGAGGCTACAAAAACACATGACATCAAAAAAGACAAAACTTTTGAAAAAACCTATTTTTTCGAAAATACTCAGTAATCTGCACCATTTTGGGTTACTACTCATTTTGGAACCCTCAAATACAGGAAAAATTCAATACTGAAAAATATTTTTAGCGGAATGAAAAATCCTATGTATTATTGAGAAAAATGTATGGTCAGTCCCAAATAGCTATGTCTATAATATTTTAAAGATATATTTCCTCATTTTTGGTTATCGATCAGGTCATATTTCTAATAGAAAGTACTATCGCTTCAAATTCGATCAAAACTGACAATCTGAAACATAAAAGTATGTATATATGATTGGGCCTAACATATTTAACGATATTTCATGTGAGATTTCTATAAAACAGTTCACAAAACCGCAACATGTCTTTCACTATAAAAATCAAGTCACAATTAAATATTGTTAACATATATCCTTGAGTTCCATCATCTCACTTACGGCATAGAATATCTAAGATACAGAATAATTGGATATAACCTAATTAATGTGAACATATAGAAATTGCTGGAAATTTCAAGTGAGATCTGTTCGAAAAACAAGATAGCGATATGGTCAAGTGATATAACCAAACTGTTTGTTTGGAGGTTATGTAATATTAGTGAAGGGGAACCTAGGACTTTATATAAGGTTTACCGCCAAGTTAATTCCCCCAATATAATGTAACTATCCCTCACCCTCGGAGACCACGTGTCTTTTCGAATAAAATGAGTACTAATTCACAATTCCCTTTTGTCGTTTGCCCTCGCCTGCCAATTAAATTATTAACGAGATGGTCTAACCTTCCGATATTGGATAACATGCTCATAAATTATGGAGAGGTTAGGGATCAAATTAATTGGAAAATTCCAGATAATCGGTCATAATAAATTATACGCCTTTTAAAGAATAAGAGGAAAGATCACATTTTCGAAATTTTTTAGTAGTTGAAACCATCAGAAAACAATCTGCTAAAATGAACTCGAAATGATATCTGAAGATCAGCATCAATTGAACTAAGTAATTTGGTTTATTCGATTTGCTTCTGGGGGATTCACTCAGCCAGTAACTTATCATCTTAGAGTTTTGCCCACAAATTGAATAATATACGGATAAAATGAAAACTTTATGTACATAGCTTTCCTTATATGTTTATCGTTTCAATAAGACAGGTACGTTTTCTTTGACAAACGTCAAAAGAATAAAATGTACAGATTATATCAGAGGTTCCCAAACGTTTTTTCTCGTCGACCCTTTACTGGTTTCGGTGGACCTCCTGCTACTTTATTTCTACCATATTCTGACAAAACTCGTCAAAAATGTGAAAATATTATCTAATGATGGCAATGTCCGTCACAGCTCGTGGTCTATTTATTGAAATAATACGATTATTTGTAGAATCAAAATCGAATAATAATAACAAACCGCAAGAATGCAAATCAAAAATTAAAACAAATAATCATAGTTTCAAAGGGAGAAATGTACTCCATGTGATGTTCAATCTGCTTCTTTTTTTGTTAATTCTTAACGACACTTACATTTTTTTGACAAATAAATCGAGGGAAACACTTTCATAAGTTTTCTCGCAACTTCACACAGCCCAGGATATTTTTTGGGTGTTTCTGTCCGCTGCCAAAATATTCAATTGCATTTTTAAAGTTTCAACTACTCATTGGTGCAACAGTAATATATTTATCAGGCAACCACTGTTACAAACTCTAATTAGTATTAGTTATGAAGTGATTATTTTTGGAACATAACTTGCCGATAAATGCAACGGTTTTTGCAGTATTACTTGTAATGCAATGATTTATTATTGTGTGGTAACCGTTTGAGTTATTTCATTTGAAATCTTAATGTTGTTTACCTTGTCATTCATTCATCTCAATCTTATCTGAGCAATCATCCTAAACTAATAATATATATATGTGTTTCAAAAGTTTGCAAATGTTTTAGATTAACAGACAACAAGAAAGAGGAACGGTATTTTGATTATATACCATATGTCAAAAGTTTGACATATATTGGCAAATACAATAATTTTCTATCAAACACTAATAATATTGTCATAATCAAATTTGTTACTGTCGTCTACTTTCAGAAGAGTGCAATATCAAATCCTCATACAATCATATAGAGGTTTATTCAAGTTTTATTCGCTGTACAGGTCAATTTTGAAATACAGTAGGCTTATTGAACACACACCGATTGTGGATGGCCGATTTTATACCGGTCGTCCAAATTCCAATAGTGAACCACATGTAGGAACGGGATATGGCACACATGTGGTTCACTACATGAGTACTTGATAAGTGTTTTTCACACTTTTTTCGAGAAAATACAATGCAATAAAACTTATAAATAATAAACATACTGTCTGACAATTGCGGAAATATGAAAAAATCCAATTAGTATCAGACTTGTCTAAATCTAAAAATAAATATTCACAAATCATTCGCACATACGCATATAAATGTGTAATTATAAATTAATACAATGGTTGATACGTATGGGTGGTATAAGATTGTTTGTATGATTTACAGTTGCGCAGAATAATGCCAAGCATTTTTCAAGCTGATGCCGCGATAGTATTGGTATGGCCAACAAATATCAACCTGCTGTCTAACGTCACCCCTAGATCTTTGACAGCGTTTTCGCGAAGGAGTATTTCATCCTCGAAAGTATAAAAATACTCAATAATATTGGCATTACGTATAAAGGAGCAAACTTTACCCTTTTTAACATTCATTTCCAATTTTTTGGTTTATCACCAGTTATTTATTAGAACTAATTAAGACTGGAGATAAGAGCAGCTCTCTAAACTTGTGATAGATGAAATGATCTTCAATTCGTCTGCATAAAGTAAGTTGCCACAAGAAAGCTCGGAGGTGAGATCATTTATGAAGATGAGGAAAAGCAGGGGTCCTAGATTGGCGCCTTGTGGCTCACCGGATGGTGATAAGTATGCTGCAGATGCAAATCCATTATAAATAACAACATTGGTTCTCTGAACCAAATAAGAGCGTAGAAGTTGAGTTAGTGAGAGATTTTAACCCATTTGAGCTATTTTATCTAGTAAGATGGAGTGACTAATTCTGTCGAAAACTTTTGCAAAAACTGTGTATATAACGTCAACTTGTCTTTTTCTGTCCATTACTTCTATCAAAAACTGCTTGATACTGCAGAGATTCGAAACAGTGGATTTATTTGCTGGAAAGCCATGCTAGTTTGCAGAGATCAGGAGTTTGACTTGCGGCATTATTTGGTCATACACATATATCTCAAAGGCCTTCGCGAAGTTACAGAGAATATATCTACAGTTCTCAATATTCTCTGGGTTTCCTGATTTGAGAATTGGACAGACTTTTGATTGTTTCCATCGTTCACGAATATGAGATTTTCTTAGGATTGTGTATACAATATGTGTGTATTATGTATACCATAATTTGAATGAATAAAGTAAAGAGTACCTGAAATGTGTTGATATCTAAACCCTCCAATTCCACTGGGGTTCCAAAATTAACCTGACTTTTATGTCCCAGTGAACGCTATATATTTGAGAGTCGAAATACATCGATAGACCATTTATAATATTTTCAAAAAGGTAAAAATGAGCTGGTGTTAGTTTCATCTTGTGAATTAAACTGAGTAGTGTCAGCTGGTTAACGAAAAAATAGATTTTAACAAGTTTTTTTCAACATTTTATTCGAAACTAGGCTTCTAAGAAACAATTTGGAATTTTTTCCTCACATTTTTGGCCTCCAGAATTATATTCATCCTTCAGTTTTCATATTCCAATTCTCATTAGAGTTTTTCATTTTTTTGACCTACCTCTATAAAATTTTTTAAGCTCAGCCCCTCCTCCCCCGAAAAAGTTCGTAGGTGCTCAACACCCCATTGAAATGGAAATACTGTGGCATTAGCTACTGAGTTGAATTAAAATAGAGGTAAAACTATATGTTAGGTTCATGAACCAGCCATGTGTTCATATTTTGTCAAACTAACTTATTAATCTTCATTCATTCACTTCACGAAGTAAGATGTTATGTTTATCTGATAGATATAAGTCATCACTTTCAATTAATATCCATCAATTTTATATTTTTCATACATATGTTTAATGCAAAAATTAATTAATGTACGTGAAGGTACAATCCATCAAGATTTTGCTAGGTTATCCTAGCAAATAATAAATTATAATTTATTACCCACTTTCGTTGTTGAAATCAATTCGATAGTTAAACATTTTCCAATGAAATTATAGCCTACATCCTGTGAGTTCCACTCCAGGGTTCCCAGGTGTGTCCAACGTACTGAACTACTGCGTTAAATCTGTAACATGAAAGTGATATACGTTCATTCTTCTTTCAGAACTAGACTACATCAATCTTATAACAATCGCCATCGTTGAGAGAAGAGGTTGAATAGCACATGTGATAGTTCTATAATTTACGCTTTTGGTTGATATAAACTGGACTGTTTGTTATGAGAGTAAATGGTAGTTGTGAATTTGAAATTGATTTAATTTAAAAAAAAACTAGTATGAAGCTCTGTCATTCTCATATTAGGAAGTTTTTCTATTACATTAAATAAACTTCTGTGAACATGTTTGAACAATCCAAATGCATATGGTTCAATCATTATTTTGGCTGAGGAGAAGACTTTATTTTTATTCATATTTTGTTTTGCTAGTGAGTAAAGAACGTATCATACCCCAAAGGAGAATTCTCAAAAGAAATACCAACATAAAAAAATCAAGAATTACAGTCAAAACAAATCCAACGGAAATAATGTCTCTGGAGACATTTTCAAACCAGTTACTCGTTAAACCCATATGCAAAATATTTATGGTGAAATTGAAAATTTTTGAATGTACTGTAGTAATACTTTATCGTTTCCTGTGTATTGCCATTTGAAATTGTGTTTTGTTGTGGTTATATCCTATGGTTATGTCCAGATAGTTAAGTTTTGAGTTGTTAAGATTTTCTCATCTATGGTTTGCAGATAATAAAAACACATGATGAAAAAGGAGAATGGTTCAGATACGTTGAAGATGGACTGTACATATCACAAAACAATGGAATAAGAATAGAACAAATAAAAAAAGAAATTATCGAAATAAATGAAAAACTATGTTTTCAGCATTGAGGAACAACACAACTCAAAACTCAACTGCCTGGACATAACCATAGGATATAACCACAACAAAACACAAATGGCAATATACAGGAAACCTACACAAACAAGCTCCACCATACCCGCAAGTTCAAACCATCCACCATCATACAAAATGGCTGCCTATTCATGAATAGAATGTTAAGGATACCACTCAGCAATGAAGCTGGTGTTAGCCATGATCTTTCCTTGTCCGAAAAATAGACTTGGTGTTTTTTCAAAATCTATTCATCACGAAACATTGTCAATCACTTTCAAACAAACGATGTTCAATGGCTTGAAGATGTTTGTTAGTTTTTTGGTTTGATGTCCTACGTACGTAAATTCTGTCCATCGTTGTGTTGTTTTGTCTGTTGGGTTGGCTTGATTCTTGTTCTGTATTTTTTGTTTGATTCTGTTTTCTAATTTATCTATTGTCTTTTGGGTGTATCGGTTTTCGTTCGCTATTTGGTATATGATTTTCCGTTCTTTGTTCCGGGCTTCCTTGCTGAGTGGTATCCTTGACATTCTATATATGAATGCGTTATATGCAGCCATTTTTTGTGATGGTGGATGATTTGAACTTGCGGGTATGGTAGAGCTTGTTTGTGTAGGGTTTCCTGTATATTGCCATTTGAAATTGTGTTTTGTTGTGGTTATATCCGATCGTTATGTCCAGGTAGTTAAGTTTTGAGTTGTTCTCTTCCTCAATGCTGAAAAATAGTTTTTGATTAATTTCGTTAATTTCTTTTGTAATTTGATCTATTCTTATTCCATTGTTTTGTGATATGTACAGTCCATTGTCAACGTATCTGAACCATTGGACGTTCTTGAATCTCATGTGAATTGAATTGGTCCCAAATTCGACAATTTTGTTTGTTCACGTATCCATCCATACAGAGATGGGTCACATCGCTCAAGATGATTTTTCGATGAACTTACTGTTCATGTGCAGGCCCAAGTAACAACGCAAAATTCGTCAAGTAGTGATCTGCAAAAAACCGAATTCTTGTGAGCGATGCGAAATCGACCGACTCGGATTCTCCAGCACATTCTCACAGACAGCGGTGATATTTTTGTTAGATCTTGCGGTTCGTCAACGTACGGGTTTTGGTCGATCGTTTACTGAACAGTGGACTCAAATTCATCTACCACACTGTGAATAGTCCTTTCGGTAGGACGATTATGGCGACCGTAAAATGGGCGAAGCGCTCGGTACGTTGCTCGAACAGAACACCTATTTTGATAGAACAAGTTTATTATTTACACGTGTTGTTGAAAGCTATATCTGTCCATACTGGTTTGAAAGATGAATCTTCAACAAGATGGCCGTTATCAATTGTCAAAGTTCGGAAGTCCCTGTTGAAAGACCCTGTATGGCTAATGGAAAATGCCAAATAATGTCTGGTTCCTACTCACCAATGATGAATAGTTATCCAAATATTCGAAAGTTAAAAAAAGAGCACCATCAGATAGATATAAACGTGTACAAACTCTTTACATCCATGAGAGTAGACAAGATATTCGTGAACTAAGAAGTTTTGATAATAAAACCTGTTCTGAGAGTTTACTTCAGAAAATTCAGGTTAATGGCAATTTACATCAATATTAAAAAAGGCAGAATACATCACGATTTATTTGATATTTAATCATGATCAATAATAAAAGATACTTTCGGAAACGGTAATCATGAAACATCATTTCTGCGCCTGGCCTACTGAACCTAAATTACGTTTTGAGTGTTATGAGTTAGCCACAAGCGAAGTTCTTGGTGGTCCATAATCAAACAGTGTTCACACTCCGTGAATACACATATATCTTTTACATCTTGATTTACTGGTTCGTACGCCCCCTTTTACTTCAACGTTTCAACACTATTATTACGCTAACATAAACAAACAAACGAAGTCGTGAAACATTAGGAAGATTTACCTAAGACGCCAGATACGCATTGGGGGTTCCCAATTTTTTTCTAAAATAATTTTATCGCAATGAGATGTTTTGTATCATGTTTTCTAATGGAAACAATAAAGTTCATTCATATGCGTGGGAATTATTTAAAAACATTCACAAACAAAAGAAGCATGCATACATTTCAGCAAATTATTGATCGGCTTCTAATTCATCGATATCACTTTAACAAATGAAAATTGGCCAGCATAGTCTCTTCAAAAGTACAAATTCGGGGGTTTTCGGTAGGTCCTAACAACTGAGATACTCAAAAGATTGTTTCCATTTTATTTCACAATTACCTTCTGGATGCCAATGAATCTCATGCGATATTTAATGAGAGTTCGAATTCAACAAATGTCAATAAAAACGTTTCAGAGATCATCATTCTCGTTATAAAGAAACGTGCACCTCAACATTCAAGTTTAAAAAATTATATAACTAATCACTAGTTGAAAAATTAGTTTAAAAAAATAATGTATACAGGGTGTTTATTAATCATGCGGCAAAAATTCAAAGGACTATTTCTTCTGAGGATATTTTGTCCCTTGATTATTTTTGATAGGGCCCTTTGTTTCGAAGATACGGAGCGAAAAAGAATTTCGACAATGACAATTTAATACCAAAAATTACATGTCAATGTTTCTTAATCTACAAGTACTGTTGAAAATTACTACCCCCGCTCGGATGCAAGAATCCAATCTTCATAACACCGACTCCCTAACTCTTTCAAAAACACCAGAATCGTTTCTGATTTTGTTACACCCAGCAATTACCCGATTTCTCAAATCTTCCACATCTTCTACTAGAGTAGTATAAACTAATGACTTCAGGTGGCCCCACAGGAAATAATCCAGGGTACTGCCCTTCTGTAGTCGCTCCTGATGGATAGTCTGCTTGATGCCCTCGACAGAAAAAAAGTAGATCTGCAAGCTTATTCAGATGATCTTGTCATCTTGGCAAGGTCCACGTCGTGAAGGGTAGCGTGTAATATTCTCCAAAACACTTTGGACGTTGTTCACAGTTGATGCCTGAGGCAGCAGATATCTGTCAACCTTAGCAAAACTGTGATAGTTCCCTTCACCAGGAGAAGGCCACCATTTAACGCCACTTTCCCTCAATGAAGAGGGCGTTCCATTTGGAACAGAGGTGAAATATCTTGGCATTGTCCTTGATAAAAAACTCACGTGGAACGCTCACATGGAAAAAATTTCATACAAAGCCAGACTGTTCCTAGGGACATGCCGAAGGATTTGTGGTAAAACATGGGGTTTAGGTCCCAGATAAATCCATTGGATTTATGTGATGATTGTCAGACCAATGATTACTTATGGTGCAATTGCCTGGTGGCCGAAGGCTTTACAGAAAACGGCCCAGGCGAAGATCTCTGGCTTACAGAGACAAGCTTGTCTGGACATCAGTGGGTGCCATCAGTAAGTACCACATCGTCAGTGGCCATGGAGATGTTTCTAGATCCATCTCCTCTCCACATTTTTCTGGAGAGAGGCTAGATGGACTGCATATACACTTGTGCATATTGCCAATTGCACAAATGAATTTAATGCAGACTGCAACAGACTGTTGGTTGACACTGGAAGTCACATCATTCTGGAAATGACCTTCGACTTTATGCCTCCAACTGTCAACTACGAAGTGCCTATAACGTACTGTTTCCGGGTAGAGAGGACTGGATCCTCGGGGATAAGGAAATATTAAGAGCAGATACTTGTTGGTTCACAAATGGATCAAAAACACTTTCCGGTTCTGGTGCAGGTGTTTTCACTCGCAGACCCAGGACAGATATATCAACCTGCCTAGGAACCTATGCAACAATATTTCAAGCGGAAGTTTACACTATTGTATTGTGTGCGGAGCGATTGGAAGAATCCAACCTCACAAGCAAGTCAATAAAAATATTCTCAGACAGTCAAGCGACGGTGGAAGCTCTTGGCTTCTACCGAGCAACGTATGAATTGGTAGCAAATTGCCAAAAACGACTCTCCTCGATAGGAAGACTCAACAGATTTTCTCTGGTCTGGATTCCTGGCCAATCAGGCAATGGGGCTGCTGACTCCCTTGCAAAAGAGGGTGCTGCAAGCAGCTTCATCGGACCAGAACCTGTCATTGGCATCGCTTTAGGCTTTGGCACACAAAGATTTAACACCTGGATGGCAAGAAGATGTATGGACTTCTGGCAGTATCTTCCAGGATTGGCTCACTCAAAGACG